GATATTCCTCTAATTTATACACCGGGACTCTTATCAACAATATTTCCTAGATTATATTTTGAAAATGAGCTGGAATGATAAATATTTCGCATTCAGAAAAAAATGCGTCAACTTACCTCGTCAAATGGTTATTTATATCCAGTTCCTTCAACGGCATCTATAGGTATATTTCTGTGGACATTTCTTAAAATATTTATGTTTAAATAAAGCAAATATTATGAGAGAGCGTAAATCCCCAAGAAAACTGTCGTGATGGTCATGCGATAAAACAGTTACAGAATAAATACTCGGACTTCACCTGCTGATATCAGCGCATGGGGCGACGAAAGGGTCAATCATGGAAATTACTCTCGACGTTCCGTCTCGATTAATTTCCTAATATTGACCCTTGTTGTCGCCCAATGCGCTGATACAAGCTTATATATTCTATAACTATTACATAATACACAACTTTTTTGCTTGAATGATTTTTATTTGTTTGGGTCGTCAGACCAAACAAATAATTGTAGCGAAATTTCAGACCCTGATGTTCTTATTTGCAAATGCCGAAAGTAGTGCAAACTCCTCGAAGTGGTTACTTCCCTTCATGTGTACATAAACGCCGAAATATTAAGGGGAGATCACTGCGTAAAGATTGTCAAATGACAGGCGCATTAATTTTCGTAACGAAAAAATATTTCCCGATAGGTCGAAGATATCTAATATTGTGTTATTCATATAGATATACATACTTATATTCAGCTTCATGATTATTTACTTTAGTGTTAAACAACAGGTTTACCGTGAACAAAATATATCGAAATAAATGAGAGATTCAAACTCTAATTAAGAATAATCTGGTATTATTCAGACTGTTATCTTATGACTCCCCTTGGTCTAGGGGTTTAAAAGGTCGCTTTAGAAAAGGAGAGGTCAGGATTTCAAATCCCAGTTCAGGTTACTCATGTTTGTTTTTTTGTGTGTTTTTTATACATTGAATTGAATATCATTGTTGCAATTAGTTTTATAGCCAATTTACTATAGTTGTAACACTGGAAACAGAATTTGGTGACACTTTACAAACAAATTTGTTTATAATCTCACATCCTTCACCTTCATAGATATCTTTGTCTCTGTCCTTTTAACATCCTGAGACTCAAGCAAATTTAGCGCCTTCTGTGCTTTGATTAGTTATTGCCCTTGAATAAAAAAGGTGTTTTTTAAGCTCACCTGAGCTTGCTCAGGGTGAGCTTTTAGGATCGTTGAATGTCCGTCGTCCGTCCAGACACTATAGCGTCACATTTTTGCCTCTATCATCATCAAACATGGTCAGGATGCTTGTCTAGATGATAGCTCAAATGAGTTCGAACATGGGTCAACTCGGATGACAAACTAGGCCACAGGAGCTAAAAATAGAAAAACCTTGTTAACACTCTAGCGGTCACATTTTTGCCTCTATCATCATCAAACATGGTCAGGATGCTTGTTTAGGTGATAGCTCGGATAAGTTCGAACATGGGTCATCTCGGATTAAAAACTAGGTCACAGGAGCTAAAAAAAACCTTGTTAACACTCTAGCGGTCCCATTTTTGCCTCAATTATCATTAAACTTTGTCAGGATGCTTGTCTAGGTGATAGATTGGATGAGTGCGAACATGGGTCATCTCGGATGAAAAACTAGGTCACCGGAGCTAAAGAGCTAAAAATAGAAAAACATTGTTGACACTCTAGTGGTCACATTTTTGCCTCACTCATCATGAAACTTTGTCAGGATGCTTGTCTAGGTTATAGCTTGAATGAGTTCGAACATGGGTCATCTCGGATGAAAAACTAGGTCACCGGAGCTAAAAATAGAAAAATCTTGTTAACAATGTAGCGGTCACATGGTTGACTCAATCATCTCAAACTTGGTCAGGATGCTTGTCTAGGTTATTTCGAACATGGGTCAACTCGGATGAAAAACTAGGTCACAGGAGCTAAAAATGGAAAAATCTTTTCAACACTCTAGCAGTCACATTGTTGACTCAATTGTCATCAATCTTGGTCAGGATGCTTGTCTAGATAATTGCTCGGATTAGTTCGAACATGGGTCATCTCGGATGAAAAACTAGGTAACAGGAGCTAAAATAGAGAGAAATAAGAATCCCTAAAGAACGCCCAACACGACAAAATTGAAAATGTTGCAGGCTCGGTTTGATTGAGTCTGTTCATGGCGGTACTGTCAAGTGCAAACTACCGTCCACGCCCCCCATCACCGGCTTAAGCAGAATTCAACATTTAACATTAACTGGTAAAATATATAATCTTGAAACATCCGCAGATGTGTTCATATGGCGGTTATCATGGAACCTTCAATGTGACACTTTAGTGCCATCCCATGAAAAGGGGCATATGGTCTCCAAGTAAAAAATTGCGTGTGCCCTAAACGAGAAAACAAGGGGCGGAACTGAATAAAATGGAATTTTGAAAGGGGATCTGAGGTTATGAAGCCTGCATATCAAAGATATGACGTCAAAAGACAAATTTAAAATGCAGGCCACATATCCTAAGAGTGATTCAACAGTATTCAATTGAGGAATACTGGAACCACCCAACAAGAAAGATGTCGAATAGAAAGAACTATAAATAAAAGATAGAAAAATATTGTTAACACTCTAGTGGCTACTGTTTTGTTCCAAATATCCTGTAAATTGGTCTGAAAGTTTGTTTTGATGATTTCTAGGTAAGTTCGAATATGGGTCACCTGGGGTTAAAAACTAGGTCACACTGCTCAAATATGGAAAAATCTTGTTAAAATTCTAGAAGTGAAGTCACGTGTTCTATTCAATTATCATCAAATTGGTCAGGATGCTTGTCTCGGTCGTTGCTCGGATGAGTTCGAACATGGGTCATCTCGGATGAAAAACTAGGTCACCGGAGCTAAAAATAGAAAAATCTTGTTAACAATGTAGCGGTCACATGGTTGACTCAATCATCATCAAACTTGGTCAGGATGCTTGTCTAGGTTATTTCGAACATGGGTCAACTCGGATGAAAAACTAGGTCACAGGAGCTAAAAATGGAAAAATCTTTTTAACACTCTAGCAGTCACATTGTTGACTCAATTGTCACCAATCTTGGTCAGGATGCTTGTCTAGATAATTGCTCGGATTAGTTCGAACATGGGTCATCTCGGATGAAAAACTAGGTAACAGGAGCTAAAATAGGGAGAAATAAGAATCCCTAAAGAACGCCCAACACGACAAAATTGAAAATGTTGCAGGCTCGGTTTGATTGAGTCTGTTCATGGCGGTACTGTCAAGTGCAAACTACCGTCCACGCCCCCCATCACCGGCTTAAGCAGAATTCAACATTTAACATTAACTGGTAAAATTTAGAATCTTGAAACATCCGCAGATGTGTTCATATGGCGGTTATCATGGAACCTTCAATGTGACACTTTAGTGCCATCCCATGAAAAGGGGCATATGGTCTCCAAGTAAAAAATTGCGTGTGCCCTAAACGAGAAAACAATGGGCGGAACTAAATAAAATGGAATTTTGAAAGGGGATCTGAGGTAATGAAGCCTGCATATCACAGATATGACGTCAAAAGACAAATTTAAAATGCAGGCCACATATCCTAAGAGTGATTCAACAGTATTCAATTGAGGAATACTGGAACCACCCAACAAGAAAGATGTCGAATAGAAAGAACTATAAATAAAAGATAGAAAAATCTTGTTAACACTCTAGTGGCTACTGTTTTGTTCCAAATATCCTGTAAATTGGTCTGAAAGTTTGTTTTGATGATTTCTAGGTAAGTTCGAATATGGGTCACCTGGGGTTAAAAACTAGGTCACACTGCTCAAATATGGAAAAATCTTGTAAAAATTCTAGAAGTGAAGTCACGTGTTCTATTCAATTATCATCAAATTGGTCAGGATGCTTGTCTCGGTCGTTGCTCGGATGAGTTCGAACATGGGTCATCTCGGATGAAAAGCTAAGTCACCGGAGCTAAAAATTGAAAAATCTTATTAACACTCTAGTGGCTACCGTTTTGATCAAAATATCCAGTTAATTGGTCTGAAAGTTTGTTTTGATAATTTCTAGATCAAGTCCGAATATGGAACATCTCGGATGAAAAACTAGGTCACACCACCAAAATATGGAAAAGCTTGTTAACACTCTAGTGGTCACATTTTTGACTCAATTATCATCAACCTTGGTCAGGATAGGTAATTGCTCGGATGAATACGAACATGGGTCATCTCGCATGAAAAACTATGTCACCGGAGCTAAAAATACAAACATATTGTTAACACTCTAGTGGCTACTGTTTTGATCCAAGTATCCTTGAAATTGGTCTGAATGTTTGTTTTGATGATTTCTAGGTCAAGTTCGAATATGGTTCACCTGGTAAAAAACTAGGTCACACTGCTCAAATATGGATAATCCATTTTAACACTCTAGTGGTCACTTTTTTGACTCACCTGTCATGAACTTGGTCTGAATGCTTGTCTAGGTAATTGTTCGGATGAGTTCGATGGATCAGATGAACAATCTAGGGCCATAATGGCCCTATTGTTTGTGTGTTGCCAGCTACACAGAGATTTGTCTGGTTTTTCCGTTTAAACGTTTAAACAAAAACAAATTAAGAAGTAAGACATATAAAGAAAAGACACCAAGTTTGCTGCATATGTTTTTCTTTTGTTAAAATAAGACGACAAAAGCTACACAAATTGCAATAAAGTTTAATTTATAGCAGGTGGTAGTTTAAAAGAAAAAGTGTTAAATTTCAATTCATTTACAAAACTGAAAAAAAAAAATACAAGAATAATTAGGGAATGTGCGGCCATCTTTGACACAATTTTGGATATCTCAGCTTGGCATTGAGTTTGGTCAACTAAATATTCATTCCAAAAACTACAGATCCATTTAGGTATATGAAAATTGCTGTTGGTTGACATGGACCAGTTATCCCTCTTAATAGGCTGGTAAAATAGGCTGATTTGCATTACTATCATGCTATTGTTTTTTCAGTGTCCATGAAGCCAGAAAATTTACAAATAACAGATGTTACAAGCCGAAGCTTTCTCATTACTTGGGATAAACCTCTAGAAACATACAGTGCTGAGAATTACGGATATGTTCTGCAAGTTAAGGATGATAAAGGTGCTTGTAAGGAAGAGGTTCTATACAAATGCTCAGACTGTAAAGGAAGTTTCCAGGTAAAAATTAAAAAGCAACATTATATATACATGTATTTTAGACTAAAATCAATCCGTCCTGGTAAGTATTTTTGTTTTTAAGTTGACTATTCAAAGAATATCTTCAAATACTTATTTGAGATGATTCAAGATGGTCACTATACATAACTCCAACATGGATTTTGACAAGAAAATGGCCTTTTAAACTTAAAAATCCTAATATTAAAAAGTTTTTTTGTGGAACATCAATCTGAAGGTTTTACTTGAAAGCTTATACATGTTTTTTGGAACATAAATTGAGATCATTTTACAAGGCCCATAATAAGCTCACCAGAACCGAAGGTTTAGGGTGAGCTATTAGTTTAAAAGGGGGGTGGTCCAGCGTCAGACATCATGCGTCAACAATCATCTACTTTGAAACTGCTTGGCAGATTTCCCTGATATTAGCATCCTTGTGACAGTCATACTAAAATTTGCTCATCTCATTTTATATTGCCCC